ACCCTTCATGGAGTTTCTCTTGTAGTTCTTTTTTTGTTGTTTGTGGACCCTTCTCATTGTTAATAGCAGCAACAGACCCTCATTCTTGATTGTGGTCTACTGGTCTTTATGAAGCCATATGCAGATGTGAGCATCCAAAAGAAGGTGTTGGGGGATTCAAACATCCAACAGATGGTGTAGGTCAAAGGACTCGAAGCCATGAGCCTTCAAATCTGTCCCAAAGGATGCTGCTTATGCAAGGCAAGAAGAGACATATAAGTCCACATTTTCCACAAATGCACTTTCTCTGCCAATTTATGGTAGAATCTACTTGAAGTCTTTGATCACATACTGCCATGTCAGCCTTCCTTAAACGTTGTCATATTGCTTAAATCCAAATCTGTTTGGCTTAACAAGTGGAGGTGCATTCTTTAAGATATTTGATTGAAGAGAAATAGAAAAGATTTCCAAATGTTTCAGCTCTTGGGGAGAGTACTGTTTTGTTTCCTCTTTTTGGACTATACTAGACTTGCATTTTTTTTTTTTTAATTTTGAGCGTGAACCTGAGCTCCCCTTGATTACTACTGATTGGAGGAATTTTTGTAATTCTTAACCTTCACAAACTACACTCACAGTTTTAGATTGTGAAGGTTAAGAATTATAAAACAAATTGCTAGACAGCTCCTTGGTTTTGGTTAAGGAGGATTCCTTCCCTTAGTTCTTGATTATCCTTCCATGATTAATGAAATATTTTCATTTTAAAAGATAAAATATAAAATAAGCCTCCATGATTCGTGCTAAGATTCAAGAATCAAAAACCGTGCACATTTAAGTTAACCATGAACTATATCATCAAATGATACTTGGTAGTTGGTACATGCATGTCTAAAAGAGAAATCCTGGATTAAATTTTCAATACCGAACTTCAAAATACAAGAGAAAGGCCGAAGTATTCGGAAATTAGTTGAGGGTAGATCTACTTACTGTCCAACCAATATTTTCCCAACACCATTTCCTGCAGCAATTTTCATGATAATCTGCAAAATATCTGCAAAGTTCGCTGAAAAGTTCTAAGGAAACTAGACTACTGAATTAAGCAAAAAACAAAAGCTCAAGAAGAGACCTGTGCAGCTTCTTTATTAAAATAACGACCATCGCCTCCTAAAACCAACAGCCCATTTTTGTAATCCTCTGGTGGCAAGGAATTGAACAATGCCTGCAGATGCAAAATGCTCATGTAACACAAACTTCAAACTCATGCTGAGATTTCATAGACTAACATTTCCGACAAAATGCAAACATTCAAACCTGGATCCAATTTGCAAGGTAATTTTCCTGCTTAAATATTTTCACCTGAAAAGCCATGTAAATTACAAAGTGAGTTGTGATGGCATCAACGCCACCAAAATCCACAGAAAAATGATCAAGGGAAAGGATAAATTTAACAAGCAGACTAAATTTAAAAAACAAAAACAGCAATGGTTCGTTTAGCCGGATGCTGGCAGTTTTCCCGCCATTCAACAACCACACCAGATGGCACCAGTTTATCAACGTTATCAATCCATTAGCGAACTAGCTTAATATAAGAAACTTCCGATGCTCGTACATAAGTACATTATATAGAATTTTATTATTCCCTCCTTCGGTTTCTTCTTTTACAAAAAAATAAAAATAAAAAATCACTAATTACTGAAATTTCAAGCATGAATATCTCGAACAATCTAAAACGAAAAGAGATAGAAAAAGAAAACACCTTCTTCCGGAGACCACTAGTTCCAGTTTTCTGGCCTTCAATCGGCTGAGTCGGAATCAAATCAATCTGAAAAAACAATATACACATAATGTAATCAACAAAAACACAAAATCTTCTCAATTCACAGCAACACACAATGTATCAATCTGAAAACAGAGTTTAATAAACAAAAAAAAAAAAAGGAAAAAGGAAAAAAAACGAAGGAACAAGAGAGTGAGTGATGCCGCGACGGCATAGTTACCTTGATTCCTTGAGACTCTGCAACAGTTGCAGGAGAAGAGGAAGAGGAAGAAGGCGAAGAGGCCTTAACGACGACCGAGTGAGAAGCAATTCGAGAAGGCAGTTGAGGAGAAGAGAGCAGAAGTGGAGACGAAATGAAAGCTGTAGAAGAAGGAATTGCCCGAAAGGAAGCTCCATTGGGAGAAAGTGGTAATGATGATGATCGCTGTCTGAGCGGGGAAGAGAGGAGATTGTGAAGCCGCATAGAGGAAGAAGCCATTGACGACGATGATGAAGAAAATGCGAAGCGATCGATCAATCCAGTTAGGAAGAAGAAGAACCGTTCAGAGAAGATCTTTGGATCTCACCCAGCTGGGTCCGTGAAGCGCAAAAGAACACAGTTCGGGACTTGGGGACTTAAACACAGATCCGTACCCGCCACACATGCAATTGCCGGGTCCATTTATTTTCTATTTTTATCTTAAATTTATACCCACTCATTATTAAATAAATAAATAAATATTAATGATTACTTCAAATATGTTTTACTTAAAATAATTTTATATTAAATATTTTTAAAAAAAATTATTGAAAACATATCGAAGGATTAGTTTACAAGATAGTCTTTACTCTTATAAACATTTCAAAACAGGTAAGTAACGTATCGGGTCACTTGAAATGCATAAGACTGTTGACACCATCAAATATCGAATATAGATTTCAAATTTTATCAGAACATACAGATTTTCATTCTCACGAACTTTAAAAAAAATATAATTTTTTTATATAAAGATTATTATTTTTACCCCTTTTTTTTCGTTTTACACGTGTTAATCTACCTATTTTAGCCAAAAGAAAATGCATAAATATTTTAAAATCCACTAAATTAAATAAAAAATTAATTAGTGTAAAATAAAATTTGCAATAATTATCTAACTTTATTGTCTGATTTAATGAATTTTAATTTATTATATTTAATGTAAGTCTATTAATTAACATATATATCGGCCATTCTTATTTGTCTAAATCAAGAATTTTATTTATATTAATGTCTGATTTAACGAAAGAGTGTTGTTTTATTTGGTTATGGAAAATAACTCAAACCTCAAATAATTTTTTTTTTTAATATGGAAACTCTTTTTCGTTTTTTTTTTTAATTATTTTTAAAAGTCAAAGGGTATTATTGTAATATTGTAATCCCTTTACTTCTATAAAAAGAATTTTAAATAATTATTATTTTTAATATATTGACGAAAATCGTATATAATTTTACATATTATCTCTAAACTTTATAATGTTACTTTTAAAATTTTTTGAATATTTTTTAAACGTGGTCAAAGTATTTTTTTTTTTTTATATACTTTTTAAAAGTTGTATTCTTTTAAGTTAAAAAAGAGTTTTAACGGTAAAAAGCAAAATTTACCTAGTTTTTGTAATTCTAATTTGCTTAAATTAAATATAAAATAAATTTTATATGTTATTTAAAAATAATATCATTGTTTATGTTGTTTTAATACCATTAAATTCAAAATTAATGTCATAGTATACTTTAATTTTTGTATGTATCTAATTTAAAAATTAAATACTTTCTATACTATACCCAAAAGAAAATAGCATTTACTTTTGGTATATTAAATATTGTTAATTTAAAAATAAAATACATTTTTAACTTTTAATACACTAACTTAAAATTAAATATTATTTTTTAAAATAAACATCACTTCTGTTACAAATAATACCATGGGAGTCAGTTAGTGGGCAGTGTGTTAACGACTAAGCTCTGAAGGGGGTAGACATGAGATAGTGTGCCAGCAAGAACGCTGGGCCCTGAAGAGAGTGGATTGGGGGATCCCACATCGTTTGGAGAAGAGAATGAGTGTCAGCGAAGATGCTGGGTGTTACGATCATGCTCATCCAAGGCGTGTTGCCCATGGCCGCATGCCTATGACAAGCCCAACCCTTTATGTTTTTCATATTCTAGTATTTTACTTTTGTATTTCTAGGAAGTATGACGTTTCAGGAATATCATGTATAGGCTTGTCAGACATGAAATGCCCCATAATGTACTACAGTGGATACGACTAGTTGTCAACTTCTTTCTACCCAAGGTTATATACTGTGAGCCGTTGTTATTTCTCTTTTGTTTGCTTATATAACGTCTCTTTCAAAAATCTCTCTCTGCCCTCGTTTTCTAAAATCTTCTCTTAAAACCGAGGTCAAAGGCTCGACCATACGTTGCTTCGCCGTAGGCAACGCAAGAACGAATTGGCTTAGCTCACTTGTCGTTGAAAAGTGAGTGCCACACAATCGCAAATCCACTGCCATCAAAAGTGCAATTGTGATACTGGGTTTCGAAGGAGGTGGATTGTGAAATCCTCGAGTGCCTGCGAAGACACTCGGCTTTAATGGTATTAGAGTCAAACACTGAACGATGTGTCAGCCTTCTCGCTGTTCCTCGAAGGGGGAGTAGACACGAGGCGGTGTGTCAGTAAGAACGCTGGCCCCAAATGGAGGTAGATTTGGGGGCGGTCCCACATCGATTGGAGGAAGGAAAGAGTGCCAATGAGGACGGTGGGCCCCAAAGGGGGGTGGATTGTGATGTCCCACATTGGTTTGGAAGGAGAATAAACGAGGGTGTAGAAACCTTCCCCTAGCCGACGCGTTTTAAAGCCTTGAGAGGAAGCCCGAAATGAAAAGTCCAAATAGGACAATATCGGCTAGCGGTGGGCCTGGAGCGTTATATGGTTTGTGAGATCCCTGGGTTGTGAGATTGCATGTCGGTTGAGAAGAAAACTAAATGATTTTTTTTTTTATAAGGGTGTGTAAATCGATAACAGACCTGGTTAATAAACGTGTGAAAATCTTTTAAAAAGATTTGAGAGAAAGTTGAAGAGCAGGCATAGACTTTATAAGGAGATATGAGGCAGGTTAATTGAACCTAGGAATGACCGAAGCGGCCGATCTCATCCAAATCCAAATACAGTAGGAAAAGAAAGCAGAAAGCAGGAATCGGCATAGAAAGCCCGTGTAGCTATTAAATTTAAAAAAGAAAACAGAAGGAAGTAAATGAAGAACAATCCCGGGGGCCAATTTTTGTCTGTGGGTGCTCAATGGTTCTTCTACTTCTGTCAACAATTCACCCCTTCTTAACCATTTCCCTCCTTCTTCTCCCACTCCTCCGCCTCCGATTCCACACCCACATCCCACCAAACCAATCCCTCTGTCTCTCCGCGACTCTATCCACTTTCTTGCTGCAATTCTTGTTGTTCTGTTCCTTTCATTTTCTCTCCATCCAGCTCTCAATACCCCTCAATGGCCGATTCTCTCACTCCTGGTACGTTTCCGAGTTAAACCCTTTTCATTTTTCAACGTTTTTCTACTTCAATGCTTCATTTCTCGATCAACCCTTTTCGGTTTTTCCCATGTTCTTTGATCTCTCATTGTCCCCTGTTCTTGACTTCATTTGGGTCTGCATCGTTAATCGTTTTCGTCTTGGAATCAATCTTTGAATCTTTGTGGATGTTCTTTGTTTTGTTTGTCTCCTCATTGGTTTTCTCGACATTTTGGTGTTCTGATTCTTACTGCGTTTTCTTTGTTTCTTTTTTAGCTTGGCTGACTTTGTTGTTCATCATTCCATGATTCTGATTGTTTAATGATCTTTTTCTTGTTCCTTTTGAATCTATCTGTTCCCAGATTCAATGTTTTGTGTCCTTCTGGATTATCATCTGCTTTATGATATGTTGAACAAATTAATGAATGAGTGAATGAAAAAGTTCTTTGACTTGGCGTTTTACAGGTGATATTAAGGATCTTCCCACAGGATTTAAAGGAAATTTGCAGGTTAAAACTTCCCCTGTGGTTTGTTTTGGGGAAGTTTTGATAGATTTTGTGCCAACAGTGGGTGGAGTTTCACTTGCTGAAGCTCCTGCTTTCAAGAAGGCCCCTGGCGGCGCTCCTGCTAATGTGGCTGTTGGCATTTCTAGGCTTGGTGGCTCCTCAGCATTCATTGGCAAGGTTCATTTCTTCGTATTCGATCGAACTTTTGAATCGTTGAATGTTTTCGATAGTTAAGAGATTGTTTTCCTTCGATTAGTATCGGTTTTGTGTAGAACTTTAATTTGGGAGGAAGAAATGTGAACTTTCTTCCTTGTGTTATAGGTAGGTGATGATGAGTTTGGATATATGTTGGTAGACATTTTGAAACAAAACAATGTGGATTGTTCTGGAGTTCGGTTTGACCCGAACGCAAGGACAGCTCTAGCATTTGTTACACTTCGAGCAGATGGCGAACGGGAATTCTTGTTCTTTCGCCATCCTAGCGCTGATATGCTTCTCACTGAACGTGAACTCGAGGTTAAAGTTATTGAGCAGGCAAGTCTCGTGTTCTTATCAAGAGATAAAACTCGTTTACTATGCTCTTTTGCTGATGCTTTCTGTGATTCTGAATTCGATTCGTTTCAGGCACAAATCTTTCATTATGGATCGATTAGTTTGATTGATGAACCGAGCAAGTCAGCACATCTAGCTGCACTAAAACTTGCAAAAAAATCTGGTTGTATTCTCTCTTATGATCCCAACTTGAGATTGGCGTTGTGGCCTTCACCGGAAGCTGCTCGGGATGGCATAATGAGCATCTGGGATCAAGCTGACGTTGTTAAGGTATAATGTCTGATTACGAAGCGTTTTGAGGTATGCGTAGGTAGAAATGTGAAAACTATGTAGCGTTCGTTTCATTCTTGTGCAAATTCATGCAGATAAGTGAAGATGAAATTACTTTCTTGACTGGTGGAGACGATCCTTATGATGATAACGTGGTGTTGGAAAAGCTTTTTCGTCCGAATTTCAAGCTTTTAATCGTAACCGAAGGGTCGCAAGGCTGTAGATATTACACTCAAGTAAGCATTTTATGTATTCATCGATTCTAGTGTTGTCTACCCGAAGTCTTAGCTGATAGATTATGGTAAATTTAATTGTTTCGTATATACAGAAATTCCGAGGCAGGGTAGCAGGTGTTAAAGCCAACCCCATCGACACGACCGGAGCTGGCGATGCGTTCGTGAGCGGGATATTGTTTTGCTTAGCTTCAGACCCGAGCCTTTTTCAGGTTCCATTTGTTCTTGCCTAATGAAACAAAAGGATGGCTATACTGGTTCTTATTTACATCTGAGTTTTCCTCTGGCAGGACGAGCAACGGCTGCGAGACGCTCTACGCTTTGCGAATGCCTGTGGCGCCATCACGGTGATGGAGAGAGGAGCGATTCCAGCTCTACCGACGAAAGAAGCTGTCCTAGAAATGTTGTCCAATGCCAGCACTGTATGATAACAAGTGTTTTTAGGTGTGTTTGGTTTGTTTCAATTAGGCTAAATGTAATTTGAGTTTCGTTTGTGGTTAGGTGAGTGAGATTTGAGCTCATTTTATAGTGTTGCCCACAGCACACCTTGTCTTCTAATAAATGCTTTATTCATTCTCGTTTCTTTAACAGTGATCTGAAGAGCATTGGTTGTTGTTCATTGTTTGGGTTGTTGTAAGTGTTATAAAATGTATATTCATCAACACTAATTGTTGTTATTAGAACACTCTCAATTCACAATTGATACATTTTAGTTTTACTCCCACACGATCGATGTGGGACTCGATTGGGGTCTAGTGTCTATGCTGGCACTCGTTCCCTTCTCCAATCGATGTGGGATTCCCCAATCCACCTCCTTCAGGGCCCATGGTTGGCACTCGTTTCCTTCTCCAATCGATGTGGGATTCCCCAATCCACCCCTTTTAGGGCCAATTGCTAGCACTCGTTCCCTTCTCCAATCGATGTGAGATTCCCCAATCCACCCCTTTCAGGGCCCTGTATCCTTGTTGACCTCGTGTTCAACCCTTTTGGGCTCAGCTTCTTTGCTCGCACATTGCCTAGTATTTGGCTCTTATATCATTTGTAATAGCCAAAACCCACCCCACTAACAGATATTATGGTTTTCACACCCTAATAAAAAAATGTTTTATTCTCTTCTCCAACCGATGTGAACATATAGGTGTAAAGTCTAATGTACGAATCAATCCAAACAGGTTCAAGTGCCTGAGGGTCACTTCACACTTCTATTCTTCAAATCTCAACTAAAGCAGTTACTCATTCAGTGACATTTACATAACAAAAATAATTGAATTTCTAACGTCTCGATCGAGAATATATACTTAAACTAGTTGAGATATGTTCAAATTGGCGTGATTCATTTCTGAAGTTACAAGAACTAATAACCCATTTCATAGCTTAATCCTATTTTCAAAATCTAAACATGTATACATAAGATATTATAACACATTCTAGATCATATTTCTATATCATATTTCATTGGGTTGGATAAAAGATTTACATAGAACTTAAAGAGTTAAAACCAAGAGGCTTACAATGTTTGCAAATTTGAACATAGCTATACCCATCCTCCAATTATGAGCAAGACAATCCAATGAACAATTCAGTCTGTATATCAGAACCCTGTCTACTTTGGCTGCATAAGCTCATTATGCCTCCCTCTGCTTCAATACCTCCTTGTTCCCATGGCTTAGTACCACACTAATTTGTAATGAACTCCCAAATAAATGTATGAACATGAAGAAGAAAACAATCTATATTGCAATATTTTCAAAGAACAATACAAAAATAAGGCCTTACCTTAGCAGATAACTTTTTGTTTTCTTCTATAAGGAGTTTCCCCTGAGATTCAACAAAAATAAATAGCTAAAATAATCGACTTATACATGCACGGTCGATATATGAATTTGTGGGATACATGTACGTGAGAGAATCATGTATTTGGTTAATATTTGAAGAGTCGCGAGAGTTAGATACGTGTATTAGATTATTCGTGTATCACTGTAACGATGATACATGTATTAGGTAGATTCGTTATTTAATATTGATACATGCATGACCATGGAGGATGTTTCAAAAGACCTATATAAGGACTATCTATGTAAAGTTTTTCTCGTCAACTTTGTAGATTCACGGTTTAAAAGTGTTTGTTCCTACCCTTTTGTACTGCCTTCGTTGATAGAAGATACTCATGTTCCCTGTGCCTATAATTACTTTATGTGTGTAAGTAGGCACTCGTTCTCCTCTCTAATCGATGTGGGACCCCCCAATTCATTCCCTTTCAGGGCCCAACATTCTCCTTACTGGCACACCACCTGATGTCCATCCTCGTTTAGGGTTCAACCACCTTGTTGGCACATTGCCCCACCCGGTGTCTGGCTCTGATACTATTTGTAACCATCCAAACCCACTGCTAGTAGATATTGTACTCTTTGGGCTTTTGTTGAGGGGAAAAAATTTTCACACGCTTATAAGGAGTGATTTGTTTCCCTCTCCAACTAATGTAGGATCTCACAATCCACCCCCTTTTGAGACCCAGCGTATTTGCTAGCGTGCTTTTTTGCCCTCTCCAACCGATGTAGGATCTCACAATCCATCCTCATTCGTGGCCCAGTGTCCTCGTTGGCACACCACCTGATGTCCACCCTCCTTTAGGGTTCAACCACCTCATTGGCACATGGCCCACCTAGTGTCTGGCTCTGATACCATTTGTAACAGCCCAAGCCCACCACTAGTAGATATTGTCCTATTTGGGCTTTTCCTTCCCGGCTTTCCCTCAAGATTTTAAAACGTGTCTACTAGGGAGAAGTTTTCACACCCTTATGAAGAGTGTTTTGTTGTTAGACGAGGGTAGGCTATTTATTTGGAATGCGTAAGAAACTATTCTCAGGTTTGAATCTCTTATCTTCCTTAAATCCTAATTTTCTTTGCAAGTTCCAAACTATAAAGGCTCGAGAAAGCTCTTAATATATAGTATTCATCCAAACAATCATGGGTTCCAAGGAGTGGCCTATACAAACATAAGAGCTCACAAGAACAAAGAAGGTAACATGGAAAGAATGAATGGATGATGTTTGATTTCTCCACTAGGGTTTCACAGACAAAATTCAAACTGCTTGCAATATCATTAAGCCCGACTCAGAACTAAACCCTAAACTTTCACGTGTGAATCAATTTAGATTTTCGGAGAGTGATTTGTAACTATTATACGTCTCCAAAATTATATCAAAGTAACGAGAAAAATTATCACATAATTCTTAATAAATAAGTAAAGATGTGACGCTCAAATAAAAAGATATATGAATCAACCGAGATCACATTAGAATCACAGTGATTCTAAGGATATGATGGTTAAGAAAGGTTTAAAAGAATTTCTAGTTCCTGCCTATAGCAACAAGGTACACATTCCTTTTTGGTAACTTAATCATAGGAATTCTAAACCTATATTAGATGAACTCTTGAAAATTTTCGTAGAAAACATGTAAGGAAAGAATACGTTAAAAAGACTCGTGTTGGTCTATGGGGATAGTTTTCACTTTTAGAAGATGTTGTAGGGAATGCACGAAAATGTTGATTGTTGAATCCAGGTTCCAAATCTTGGTTCGAATCCTGGATGTGGAGTATTACATATGGTATCAAAGCAAAACATCTCCTAGTAGGATGTGGTTTGAAGACAAACCAAGGTGGGAGTTGGTGGACATGTGACGTCTAGGTAAAGGAGAGGTACATTCCCCTGCAATATGGTCACATTACTTACTCCTTTGTTCTCAGAGTGAGGACTACTCTCAAGAGGTCACCCAACCAAGAATTGCTCCAAGTAAACCACGTTTACTATTGATTTCCTATCATTAAGCCACCAAAAAAGGAGGTGCACCTTGTTGGTGGTATAACTGTGGACATTCTATCCTCGGGATCACTCTCATTTGGATGTGATCTTGGTTCATTCATATAACCCTCTTTTACTCGGGTGTCACAAGCCCACCAACTTCCGCCTTATCCTCACTTACATACATCCTCGAATAATTTCCAAGAGGTCATCCAACCTAGAATTTCTCCAAATAAAACATGGTTAACTATGAAGTTCTTATGATTGAACCACCAAAAAGGAAAGGACATTTTGTTCGTATATATAGTAATTTTCAAGTCTTTTAAGTCTTTTCAAGGCATTAAATCCTCTTGATAGCTCTCATTCAAATATGGTCTTAGTTTATTCAGATACCCCTCCTTCATTCGGGTGTCACATGAAAAGTACGTAGACACATGGGATTTTGAACCTCCAATCTCAAGAGAGTTGGTACATATAACCTTTATTTGATAGGCTTTATAGTGATGAGTTCAACTACTTTTTAGTTAGTTTGAGCAATTCCTTGATTAGATTTTTTTTAAATTATATTGAAATTACCTTTTCAATCAGCTTCTCTTTCTGCTCCTTAAACAGCAAAGCCTGTAACAAAAGAACAATTTCCGACATGTTTTTAAATTCAGGTATTAATGTTTACCACCAAAACAATGAACTAACTAGTTGGAAGTTTTGCAGCTTGAATTCTGGAAGAACTTTTAAATTTCAAGTACCTTTGTTTCTCTAATGCGGGTTAAGCTTAGTATCAACTGTTTTTCGATCTCACGAACTTCCTCAAAGGAACAAGAATCTAAGCCTCGTCCCAAAAGCTTCCTAAGAAATGAATTAACCTTAAAAACCATGAAGATATGAACTTCCTAGAAAATGAATTAACCTTGAAAAACATGTAGATATGACACTTCCTAAAAAATGAATTAACCTAAAAAAAACATGTAAATATGACACTCCCTAAGAAATGAATTAACCTTAGTTTTTTAAAATATGAACTTCTTAAGAAATGAATTAACCTTAAAATATAGGTAGAAATGAGACTTCCTAATAAATGAATTAACCTTAAAAAACATGTAGATATGACACTTCTTAAGAAATGAATTAACCTTGAAAAACATGTAGATATGACACTTCTTAAGAAATGAATTAACCTTAAAAAACATGTAGATATGAGACTTCCTAAGAAATGAATTAACCTTAAAAAAACATGTAGATATGACACTTCTTAATAAATGAATTAACCTTGAAAAACAAATAGATACGACACTTCTTAAGAAATGAATTAACCTTAAAAAACATGTAGGGATGAGACTTCCTAAGAAATGAATTAACCTTAGTTTTTTAAAATATGAACTTCTTAAGAAATGAATTAACCTTAAAAAAACATGTAGATATGACACTTCTTAAGAAATGAATTAACCTTAAAAAACATGTAGATATGACACTTCCTAATAAATGAATTAACCTTGAAAAATATGTAGATATGACACTTCCTAAGAAATGAATTAACCTTAAAAAAATATGTAGATATGACCGTTCGTAAGAATTGAATTAACCTTAAAAAAACATGTAGATATGACACTTCCTAATAAATGAATTAACCTTGAAAAATATGTAGATATGACACTTTCTAAGAAATGAATTAACCTAAAAAAAATTTTAAAAAAAAAACATGTAGATATGACACTTCCTAATTAATGAATTAACTTTTAAAAAATATGTAGACATGATACTTCTTCATAAATAAATTAACCTTAAAAAAAATATGTAGATATAAACTTCCTAAGAAATGAACTAACTTAAAAAAAAACAGGTAGATATGACACTTCCTCATAA